AGAATGTATTCATGAGTTACTTTTGAAATTCAGAAACTTTTTTTGTAATTTAGAAAAATTAATCACTTTTGGATCCAACTTCCTGTGTAAGCTTCCTCTTCTGGTTGAAGTAGAATGAACTGATCAGCGTTGTCCAGTTTTCTTTTTTTTTGTTGTTGCTGTTATTGTTGCTTTTTGTTCCCTTTTAGCATTTTATGTTTTCCTGAAGATACATTGGGATAAAGGTACATGCTTTACCAAACATAAACTATTTCCCAAATGGTATCCAAATATTTAGTAGTTCCCCGGCCTGAGTAAGGAATCAGACGATGATTCTCTGTCCTTGCCTGGGCTGTGGCACTGGGGCCAGTTCCCCCTCCAGGCAGAAATGGTGGTACTCACGTGCCGTGGGGAAAGTTGAACAGACTCCCTGTGAAGCACTTCCAGAGAACTGTGCTTTAGAAGAAGCCAGCCACTTGGCTGTGCCCTAAACACTTCCCTGAAGTGTGATGGACCTGCAGGTCTCTGCTGCCAACTACTGGGTTCCTAGCCAGAGGCTCTGAAAGTCTGGAAACTTTATAGTGAATAAATTTATAGGAGCAACCCTTGATTCTAACTGTGCCCAATTGTGTGCCCGCCTCCGAAAGTGCCTTCTGCTATTCAGGTGCAGCTCATTTTTCCTCTTCAGTCATATACTTAGATTCCTGAGCAAAACTTCCCCTGACAGTTCTCTGAAAATGCTCTCTTTGTGACAGAAATGGGAACGGTAATAGCAAAAAATACCCCATTTTTTTTGTTTGTTTGTTCTTAGGTACATTAACTTAAGCGGGGCGTTATTCTTCTAGAGCCTGTTAAATTATGACAGGAGATATTTCCTTGTATGGTTTTAAGAAACAAAAGCAAGGAAGACATCTCAACAGTCAATGCCTTATTAAATGTCAGTGCCAGAGCCTATAAGAGGATTAGGAACCTTTGAATCTCTTATTTAAATCTAACCAGAGCTACTGCGTTTGGGGCGGAAAAAAAGATTGTATGTAACACTAAATTTATTCACCTTTCAAACTGGGGCCTAGTATCTATAGATCAGTAGATGTTTGGGGAAGTGATGAACCTCCTACACGCAGTGTGCTAAATAAACCTTGGCCTGTGCTCCTTGTGGCTCAGATGTCCCTGCATGTGGGGAGTATGTCCTCACCAGCTTGGCCTGCTTACCTCCTAATTTAGCTACATTTGGGGTAGTTATATCTGCTGAGAAAGAGCAGTGTTTCTCACTACTATAGCTACAAATAAGGCAGAAGTAGCTAGGTATTTTCTGAGAAATGCTAAAGAATAAATGTGTAAATTTCTATAAATTCAATTCTTAAAGAAAAACCAAGAAATTTTACTTTTAAATAACAACTAATAATTTTTATTTAACAATTGTTATTAAAATTTAACAGTTTTAAATATTTGAAAAAGAATATAAATTAACATAATTTGAATTGAGAAAAGGAGAACTTGCAGTCAGGTAAAGTATTAAGAAGTAATATGCTCAAAATATATAATAATAAATTTGAAACTCTTATATGATTTCTTTTTTTACAAAATCCATTGTGTATCTATACACTAGCAATCCTTTTTTAAAATAATTAATTAATTTTTGGCTGTGTTGGGTCTTCGTTGCTGCCCACAGGCTTTCTCTAGTTGTGGCGAGTGGGGGCTACTCTTTGTTGGCGGTGCGCAGGCTTCTTATTGCGGTGTCTTCTCTTGTTGCAGAGCACGGCCTCTAGGTGGGTGGGCTGCAGTAGTTGTGGCACTTGGGCTCAGTAGGTGTGGCTCATGGGCTGTGGAGTGCAGGCTTGGTAGTTGTGGCACATGGGCTTAGTTGCTCCGTGGCATGTGGGATGTTCCCGGACCAGGGCTCGAACCCGTGTCCCCTGCATTGGCAGGCGGATTCTTAACCACTGCACCACCAGGGAAGCCCCTCTTATATGATTTCTTACAAAACTGACCAAAGAACAAAAAGTTGAAGGGGCCAAAAATGGATAGAAAGATCAGGATAACTAACATAAGTGCCTCGGTCTCATGTTACATAAACTGGTCCAAGAAAACATTTGTTTATTGAGCAAAAATGACTTTGGGCTAAGCTTTCAACAGTCACTCTGGTTGTCTTACCTTGGAAGAGATTTGTTCTGAACAAAACAGTAAAAGAATAGGAAGCACATTGAAAGCTCACCTAGTAGAATTACAGTTGTGTGGTTGGGAATATTTGGTATGTGGCTTTACCAGTTAAACCCATTCCATCTGGCCCCGTGATGTCCTAACATTTTACTCCAGGTTCTCTGGAATTTGTAATGATAGATACCTTTCTAAGATTCAAGTATTTATCTTCTTTTGTGTTTGTAGATAGAGTAAAAATGTATCTAATTAATAATATTAGGATTTGTCTTTATTAGTTTTTCAATAAAAATAACTCAAATCTTTACTTACTTGCTAGTTTCAACCCACTTTCTACATTCTGATTTAGCTTTAAATCTTTTTTTGTGTAGATGGGCAGCATCAGGGAGTCTTTTTATCAAGGTCACAGAGAGCTAGAGCCCGGTCTGTCCCTCTGAGCCTTATTAGTTCTTTCCAGTCTATAGGCTGCAAACCCAGTAATTACCCACCACTAAGAAATTATGCTTATGCTTTGAGGGAAATTGGATTGGAGAAAAAGATGTTTAAGTAGAACATAGAAAATCGGAATATGGGAGATTATGTTCTTTAGAAAATGTGAAGTGCCAGACTTACTTTTCAAACAGCCGACTCAGAGTCTTAAACTAATCATAATTCTACCACAAAGCTGTATTTTAATAATGAAGAAGAAAAATTGATTCAGCTGTATAATATGTTGTTGTCAAAAAGCAACCAACTTGGAGTTTAAAACCTTTTTCAACAGTGTGTTTCTTATTGTGGGGTCAGTGGACAACTTGTGTCAAAGTCACCTGGGGAGCTTGTGAAAATCACCGTTCCCAGATCCCTGTTCCTCAGGTGATCTTGATGTGCACTAAGGTTGTGAGGGGCTGCCCTGAGGCGTGCAATCAAGCTTGGTATGCCACAGACGTGCCTAGTGGGTCCTGGGAAAAACAGGGCAGATGAAGACGGTGATCCAGATGGCTGCTTTATGTGGCCTCTCCCTTCCTCCCCAGCCCCACTGTCATCGGAGGGTACCCTCTAGAAATTGTTCCATCGTTCCCTGCTACCTACTGCCCACGCAGACCATGGGTTCCGGGCTGGCTCCATCCAGGGTTACTAAACCTCTCAGCATCATTCTCTTCATCTGTAAAACGGGGAAAACGTTAGTACCCATCTCATAAAACTGTTATGAGAATCACGATCTAAAGTCCTTAGAAAAACGCCTGGCATTTCATAAACATTAAATAAATAATAGTTGCTATTATATGAATACTTTTTTAAAAAGCTGATTCTTTTTAAAACATTTCTTCCACTAATGAGTGAATGATCCAATTTTAATTAGTTCTTTGCCTAAAAAAGCTATTGAATTGGCCACTCCTTCCTTTTTTGTACCCACCATACTTTGAATATACAACAGCAACATCTAGAACACTTCATGTGCATTTATTTATTTACATGGTCCTCTCCCCACAACCCAAGGGTAGGAACCAGGTGTTATTCACATAGCACCGTACACAGAACATAGCACAGTAGCTACCAAATGGCAGGGAAAATCAAGTGTTTGATTCTATTAATTACTCTAACGCTAAAATGAAAGTGTTCTGTAGTGCAAAATATTTCTCAGCCTTAGCTCTGGGGTGCTTAAATAGGGTATATCTATGACTTAGCATCAAAAGACAATGTTTGAAAATATTCTTTGGCAATAATAGTCACTGATTTACACTGTAAATAAAACTGGATTATATAAATGAGTTCTTAGGATGTTATAGCAGAATGTGTTCACTGTTTTCACTGCATATTATGCATCATATATTTCCTCTGACAGTCAAAATTTAATTGGAATTGGAATAATCAAAATTCAGTACACATTTATAGAATATCAAATCATAGCTACTTATTTTAATCTCTCTCACTTGATCTACCTATGCTCACCATGTCTGGAATATTAGCAGGCACTATATTCTAAATTGATTATTTAAATATCTAAAACTTACATCTCTGTATTCTCCAAACTGGAAGCTCTGTGATGTGAAGGACGGATCTGGCTGGCATATTTTCATTATGCAGAGGACTAATACCAGTAAAGTGCATATAATTTCAAGGGTAAAATTTTTAAATCATGTTTGATAAGTGAATTTGAGCTGATATTCAAGGAACAAATATGTATTGAGCAGTGCCCAGGTTCAAGATCCTTAAACCTTATAATATGTAGTTCAAAGATGACTTTTGTACAGATTCTGATCTCAAAGAGCTTTCAGCCTGGAAAGAAAAGTTAAGTATATAAAAATTCTTACTTTTGGGCTTCCCTGGTGGCGCAGTGGTTAAGAATCCGCCTGCCAATGCAGGGGACACGGGTTCGAGCTCTGGTCCGGGAAGATCCCACATGCCATGGAGCAGCTGAGCCCGTGCACCACAACTACTGAGCCTGCACTCTAGAGCCCATGAGCCACAACTACTGAGCCTGCATGCCACAACTACTGAAGCCTGCGCGCCTAGAGCCCGTGCTCTGCAACAAAAGAAGCCACTGCATGAGAAGCCCACGCTCCGCAATGAAGAGTAGCCCCCGCTTGCTGCAACTAGAGAAAGCCCGTACAGCAGTGAAGACCCAATGCAGCCAAAAATAAAATAAATAAATTTATTAAAAAAAATCCCTACTTTCTTCTTGTCCCTTAATGGAAATATTGAGAAAGTGCTGGGGAAACTTGGGGGAGATGATTATGGGAGTTGGTTATGTATATAAAATCAAGGCGAACTGGGCTGAGGAGGCAACTGACCAGTAACCACTTAAAAGTCCTAAGCCTGTTGCTCAGTAATAGTGATGTTCACTTTTCCCGAGAGCAGAGTTGACATTGTGGTGTCTGTCCTAGGTACTGTCCTTTTTCTTCATTGGTCTGATGTCCATGATGATTCCCCTGTGCAGCCTCTTTGGGGCCCTCATTGCTGTCTGTCTCATCATGGGTCTCTTCGATGGATGCTTCATTTCCATTATGGCCCCCATTGCCTTTGAGTTAGTTGGTGCCCAGGATGTCTCACAAGCAATTGGATTTCTACTCGGATTCATGTCTATACCCATGACTGTGGGCCCACCCATTGCAGGTAAATTATATTAATTCATAGCATTTTCTACTGTAGGTCCTAAGTCTCACTTATATGTTAAATATATTATGATTTATTGGTTTCTGGTGTCTTGCTTTGTATGTGCCTTATCTATAACATTTTTAATAAGACCAGCTGTAGATGGCATGTTGGAAAAATTTGCCGATGAGTCCTCTTATTCTCATTGATATCTAAAACTCTCAGTGAAATGTGTAGCAGTTACGTTCTGGACTTTGAGCTTTCAGAGTTCCTATATTTCACTTAGTATGTGTTTTGGAGGAATAGCAGTGTGATTTCTTTTTAGGAAGAGGTGAAGATTCTGAAAGATTTCTAAATATGTATGCTTTGTGTAAGAGATCATAGCCCCCTGAGAAGTAGTTAATGAAAAATAACACTTAGTAGAAACAACCCAAATGTCCGTCAGCAGATCAGTGGGTAAACAAAATGTGGTATATCCATACAGCGGAGTATTATTCAGCCATAAAAAGGAATGAAGTGCTGTACTGATACATGCTACCAGGCAGATGAACCTCAAACATGTGCTAAGTGAAAGAAGCCAAATACAAACGGTCCCATATTATATGATTCTGTTTCTGTGAAATATCCAGAATAGGTGAATCCATAGAGACAGAGAACAGATTGGTGGCTGCCAGGGGATGGAGGGATGGGGGATTAGGGAGTAACTGCTTAATGGGTGTGGAGTTTTCTTTTGGTGTGATGAAAATATTTTGGAACTAGAGAGAGGTGGTGGTTGTACAACATTGTTAGTATACTAAATGCCATTAAAATGGTTAATTTTATGTTATGTGAATTTCACCTTTAGAAATCTTCTGAATGATAGTATAAAGATGTTTCACATTCAGTATTAGTTGGGTGCCACTGTAAATTATGATAAGATTTGCTAAAATTATTATAAAATTTAAATGTATGTACTGTCATCTGTGTCTGGTATCTGAGTGGCTCAGTGAAAGTTCAGTTCAATTCATTCTCATATTCAGAACCACACATATCAGCAAATTTGCCAGTTGGGAATCTAGTCATGTATCAAGCAAGCAGAACCACTACTGAGCAGACCAAATAAAAGATAAGTTCTCAAGATCACAGTTTCCTTTTAGGGAAAACCCTCCAGTCCTTCCCCTCTCCCCCAGGTAATACACTATTTTTACATCTTACAAGCTTAGTTTGTTAGGGTTTCCAAGTCCACAGCAAATTACAAGCAGCGCTTTTGTAGAAACGGTGTTTGCTACTAGAAGTGACTATAACAGATCAAGAATGAAGGAGTTAACAGGAAACTTTCAAAGCAGGCAGAACAGCAGGAGGTTCTGAGGGATCATAGTATTACAAACAAACATATTAATTTATGTTCATAAGGATGAAAGGTTCAGTTATATGTGGAATGTTCTGATTCAGGGGATAGGAAAAGCATATATTTAGATATGTTGTATATTTTAGGTTTCTATTTGGAATGACTGTACACCTTTTTCTTTCTTTTTTTTTTTTTTTTTTTGATGTTGGTACTTACCTGAACAAATCCTCAGCTGTTTACTTAGCAGAGTCAGATATTCAGTACAATGTGTTCCTAGAACATTTCAGATAACTTAGGTTATATAGTAAAAGTTTAAAACACTAAGATAACTTTTAAAATCTGGATTTGGTTAGAGAAATTAGAAATAAGGAGTATTCTGACAGTGTTTAGAAGCAGAGCCCTAGGATCTATGAGAGCACCACACATATATTCTTATATTTTCCTCCCATGTGCTGACAAACCTTAGTTTCTTTCCAAAATGTATTTAACAACCTAGTTTTTTCATCCTGACTCTTAGATTTATAATTTTTCATGATTTTGGATTATACTTTTAAGTAGTTTCATGTTATTTCATAAACAGGCCCAAGAAAGGTTTAAAACGTAGACATTTTGAGGTCTGTGTGTATGAGAGAAGTTTCAGCTTGACGGTCCGTCCACCTTCAGCTAAAACAGGACCTTTACACCATGTGTCAGAATATCCCAAATGGCCTCTGAAGGGTTTTGAGAAAGCCAAAGCTTGGTTGAAAATATTTTTTCCGTGTAATATCTTGGTAGGAAAACTCAAAGGCCTGTCACAGACTTGCAACAAGATTAAAGAAATGAGATCTTTTCCTTCCTCATATCAGAAAAGGTTTATATTTCAGACCCATTTCCTTAAAAATGTCTGATATCTATCTGAACTATCCTGCTGAGATGAAGATACCAGGTTTGCAGTAGGCCACCAGAGTGACTAATCTGAGACCCCAAGAGCCATACTTGTTCTCTCTTGGTGACAGTTTTTTCCCTTCCCAGGGTTACTCCGTGACAAGCTGGGCTCCTATGATGTGGCATTCTACCTCGCTGGAATCCCTCCCCTTATTGGAGGTGCTGTCCTTTGTTTTATTCCATGGATCCATAGTAAGAAGCAAAGAGAGATCAATAAAACCACTGGAGGAGAAAAGATGGAGAAAATGTTGGAGAACCAGAACTCTCTGTTGTCAAGCTCATCTGGAATCTTTAAGAAGGAATCTGACTCTGTTATTTAATGTCTTATATACCTCCACCAGACTGGACTTGCTTTTAGAAGTTTAAGCAAGTTTTCCTTTTATATGAATTGCAAATTTCTTATTTTTTTAATCACATCCTAGGAATAGCACAATAATTGGGAAATAGAACCTTATTACTACAAGAATCATTTTCTGCCACTGAAAGCTGTCCAATATTTCCATGAGTCTGAGGCCGGAGACTCAGACTTAATTTCATGTACAAGAAAACCTGTCTGAAAGTCAAATATTATGAGAATATGAAGCTATCTCAGTAAAAAGTAACTTCAGAAACTGTGAGCGCTATTTAGCTTATACAAATATTTAAAAATACCTCAAGCTGTATTGAAAGGGTTGCAGTTTGGTTAGGACTGGAAATATTGTTTGTTGTCTCACTTGGCGTTTTTAGTTTTGGTATCTTTGATTTCTTCTGCTATTTGGAAACAAAATTTAAGCCTGGATTCTAGATAATATCAGATCTACTTAAATCTCAAGTCTAGTTAAAATTGCTCCCCTGCTCTTAAATAAGCTTTGAAAGTAAGTTATTCTGACTTGCTCCAGTGTCAAGGGACCTTTTTGGAGCAGGTACTGACAAGGTGTTCAGAATCGAGGTGTGAGATGAACAGGATCATGTTCATAAGGGCAGAACAGCTCAGAAATCAGACATTTCTTCCATTTACATTTTTCCCCTTTGGATTTGCAGTGTGTTTTACTCAAGTAGCCAGAAACACCCTAGATTTCTGAATTTGTTTAAATTGTAACAATAAAGTAAAATAGAAGAACTGAAAGATATTCTGGCATTTTAACTTAGAATTTTTCTGACTTCTGATTTGTTGCTCAGTAAGACTTTGTTTAAATATCAGGTCCTAGTGCATGTTATCAAGTTGCAGTTTTAGGCACAAATGGGAAAAAAACATTTGTGAAGAAAATACCTATTTCTGATAGAAAGAATTGCTCAAATCGGTAAAACTTTCTGACAGAAATTTGCGTTCATATGTACTTATCCTATTGTGTTCCCCTTTAACATTGCCTGTATTTTTAAAAATATTTTTATACACAGACAAATATAAGAAGGCTATTTGAGTTTTAAAGACTTAAAATTAAAACCGAAGTCATGACATGACCCATATTCATCTAAAAAACATCAGAACACATCCCTCATTCCTGAAATTATATTTTAGTACATTTTTCTTTCTTATTTAGGTCTTTAAGTTGATAATGTGCAAAGCATATTTAAATCCTAAATACATATGTATTTTAGATCTTCCTCAAATGTAGCTTGTTCACCTGGGAAAATGCTGTTTTTATAAAGCACCTCCAGGATTCACCTGTTTCTAAAGTCTCTGTGCTGAGAGAAATGAAACCTATTATCTCCCTACTTCTCTTTTCAGCTTCGATCATTTGTGAAAGGCAAAGTCCTTCCATTCCTGTCTCTAGCTGAGGATGGAGATGCCTGGAAAGCATATGGATTTGCAGTTGTTGATGGGAAAGGAGGGCAGGCAGGGGGAGGAGCAAAGTGAGGCTGTTAATTAAACATCTAGAAAACCCAATAACTTTTCCTTTTAGTATCAACCTTGAAGGTTCAAAGTGTAAATACTGCAACCTTGAAGGTTCAAAGTGTAAATACTAAATATGGAATTTATTTCTAACAGAACTTTAAATAATTTTGATCTTGGAGACACTCTGCAACTTACTACTTCCAATTCTTCCACATTTCATATTCAGGGGACTTAGATAATTTGTTTTTTGGAAGGTTCTGTTGCATTAAAAAATATATATATATATTTTGACCATGCTGCCCTTTGATATTCTTATTTTATTTAAGCTTTTACAAAATGACTTAGAAATGATAATGTAATACATTATTAGTTTCTTCATTTATTCATGCCCAGTTATATAAAACATTATTTCCGCATTATTATCAGTGCTTTTGAAATTAGCAAAACCATACAACTAAGTACAATCATCGAACCTGCCATTATTTTTATTTTTCCTACAGTTTCAGCACAAACTCCTGACTACCTCCCAATTTTACAGAAAGACTAGATCTAAAATAGAAAATTTATTTTGTAAAGACCTCCAAAATGTTTTTCCTTTCAAAATGTTGCTGATTTTAGGGGAAGAAAAGTAATAATCTGAAACTCAAAGACTTGATCTTGCTTATTTTCCATGATAAAAGAGCAACATGACAAGTATTTATAATAAAACTTAGAGCTCAGAATATTGTGTTTGTGTATAATATTATACATATGTTAGTTTTCAGTCTAATGGAATGAATCAAACAGGATCTACAATGCTGAAAAGGCTCCACTAACATAGACTCTTATGGGGAGTTCTGTGCCGTAATAATATAAAGTTAAAAAGTATGAAAGGTAAGATGCTAAATTCCATAAAGTGCATATTTAGTAATATGTTTGGTACAAATAGTTATAAACATCTAAAATATATACTAAGAAAATAAAAAATATTAATATTCACAAAGATTTGTTTTAGACCAAGAAATATTAATCTTTCAAAGTAAATCCTTTCTAATTTCTGAACAGAGTGTTACTGTTGCAATAAAGTGACCTGATGGGCCTACATTTTTTTTTGTTCAATCCAAGACACTTGTTTAAAAGAATAGATACAAACTGTCACTTTGCTGTACAGCAGAAATTCACACAATGTTATAATTCAAATACAATAAAAGTTTTTTGTAAAAAAAAAAAATAATAAAATAAAATAAAATACCTTTGTTTAGCTCACAGGAAACATCCTGACCAGGCCCACCTGTGAATGACTGCAGGGAGGAAGAAATTAACACATCCCCTCTGGAGGCTGAACAGAACCAGGAAATGTTTGACTTTACTCCCTCCCCTTTTAGTATAAAAGAAGCCTGAATTCTAACTCAGGCGCAATGGTTCTCGGGACAAAGTCCACCGTCTTCTTGTTCGGCTGGCTTTCTGAATAAAGTTGCTATTCCTTGCCCACTCCCCACCCCAAAAAGGGAATAGATACAGAACTCTACTTTCTCGTCTCATCCTCCTAATTCTGATAGGACTAAGCGAACTCAAATTTAAAAGGTTCTGGCATTTGAGGCCAACAATAGCATAAGAAGAGGAGCAACTTTATAGAAAGGCTGGATTGGGTATTGTAACAGATGCCCAAGGATCTTACAGAAACATTCTGGTTAAATTTTATTGCAGTAGACATTGCTGGGATGCATCCATTTAAGTAATAATAAACCACCCAGATTATTGATACTATATTCAAAATTTATAAATCTCTTTGATCACGGTTGTAATGCTTCGTCTATAGCCCTACTACAAGATGTGTAATTTACACTGAAAACTGCATAGTGCTTGCATTAAGCTTCAAATTCTATTCATAAATAGAAACAGGACTTCATTTGCATTTCATGATCATGCATTATCTGTTTATACATGTTTGCAGACCCATGGGCTCTGCCCAAGTATGGAAAAAAAAATACTTTAATTCTATTAGCTTCAACTTCCCACTTTTAAACTCAATGTACACTTGGTTGTAAAGTAAACATGTTTACTTCTGGTAATTATACTCCTTTTAACTACACTTAAGAACATTCTAATTTGTGCTATTGTTATTTGTAAGCTGTCCCATGTCCAGATAACTCTTGATGTTAAATAAGACTGAATAGAAAATGTGGTATGAGATTTGAGGTAGGCAACCTATAGCATGGGTGCCTCTGAGGACTTCCTGGTGATGGTAAACTTTCAGACCCTTTAGTATGCCTCTTTTTATATTACCTTTATCATTTTTCCCTTTACTTCCCCACATCCTTCAAAAACCTGCTGAAAAGTCCATTAATATCCTTGCTTAGTGCTACTGGTTGCTTAGCTGCACTGCTTACCAGTCCCTGTGATTTCAGAGGATGGAACTCCATCCAATTTTGTGTAACCTGGAGAATGGCTTGCTCTTAGCTTTCAACTTAGAGTTCTAATGATAACACCGAAAAAAATTTTAATTACATGATTAAAACTGGGAGGGGTAATAAGTTTCATATAATTGTCATCTTTTGTGCTAACATATAAAACTTTAAATGTTTAAGGTAGATACTTTGAGAGAAAAGACTGTCAAGTTCTTAATATAAATATTTTCAGAGAGCTCACTTTTTAACTTTGATTTTCATATTCCATTAAAGTTTTGCTAAATCATAGTCCTGAAAGCACATCATGGAGGATGCCTTAGAATGTAGGGGGCCTCTGGGATGCAGTTCCTAATGAACCTGCCTTAGGCTGGGTTACACTTTATGGTGAATGGTATTAAGAGTAACTTCCCAGAGTCTAGAGATACAAGTGAAAAGTATAAGCTAATTAAGTCCGTAGTTTTTAAATATGTGAATAATTTATATAAGTATTTAAAACTCTGTGGGAAATTTCTAACTGAAAACTTCATTGTAGCTGGCAAAGAAGGAGCAAAGAATAATGTGGAGAACAGGCACACACAGCTCCCAGGTTCACTGTAATGGGATAGCCGCAGCCATATTTTATCACTTTATTGGCAGAGACTAATGCTTTGTTTTATAAATATACTACAAGTGATAGGCTACAATTTTCAAGAATAAAGGGCCAAATGCCCATAGCTAAATATGAAACCTGCACATAACTTAGAATCATAATTCCTGATAAATACGGATTTTATCAGATAACTCCTTATGACCCATGAAACAATTCACTGTCACATCTTTGAATCACCCAAACCTTGATATTTGGGACATAGTAGTCTGTTTAGCTTGTCCTTTTAAAAATTAATTTTGGGGGACTTCCCTGGCGGTCCGGTGGTTAAGACTCTGCACACCAACGCAGGGGGCGTGGGTTTGATCCCTGGTCAGGAAACTAAGATTGCGCATGCCACCTGGCACGGCCCAAAAAAAAAAATTATTAATTTTTTTTAAAGTAAACATTTATCATCTTGGCCTCTATACATTCAAGGAAATTCTCCATGGTACTATTTTTTTTGACAGATATAAAATAGGCTACCTCATTTATGAAACAAGATTTCAATCTTTTATTAGTATGTTGGAAAGACAGTGGGAATGAAAGAAAACCTTTCTAAGTGCTTTATCATGACACTCACTTGATCATGGCAGTCCACCTACCTCAGCTTTCAGTGTCTGACTAAAAATCCAGCTTAATTCTTGCTTAGTCAGTGAGTTAATGGTGATTCTGGGATTAAAAGGCAAGGGAATACAAGTTGTTAAGGGGGTTGAAATATCGATAAAATTTAAGTGTTTTTTTCTGATAAATGGATTTAAAAGGAACAAAAATGGAATATTAACTATTGTGGCCTGTGGATAATCTGAAAAAGGAAAAAAGTGAAGAAATTTATAATCTATGTACAATAATGAACACTTACTAATATGCTTCACCCGTGGCTTTTCAAATTACACTGGCAGCTTGACGATGAGGTCGTTTTCATCTGTGTTTTCTTTGGCAGGAAGATGGATGATCACTGACAAAAGATTGTATGCTTGTGCCTTAACCTTACAGCTTACATGTTAAACAACTCCTGTAAGAGGCACCCCTTTCCTAGTGGAACAGGGACTGTGGCAATGAATTTTTGTCTTGCTGGAGTTTTTGAAAATGCTACCGTTGAGTGTGGCAATAGTGTAGGAGTTAACCCACAAGTTCCCAATCTAAAGATGTTTCTAGCCTTTCTATATGGGTGCTGTAAGAAGAGTATTTTGGAGTTGAATGTCACTAAGCATGTATGTGATATCACTATCAATATAAAACAACATTTAGAAATCAAATTAGATCTGTGACACTATTTTG